ACGCAATCCTTGTAATGTACATTTTCATTGGTTAATATCACATTGTATATTTTATCATGTCACAAATTTGAATAAATTAAATTGCTCATAAATACACTGTTGCTTGTTTATTGTATCTTATTGTCATTTCTGTATCCATTTTACAAACAAAGGCATGGACATTGTACTAGCTCTATGTATTTTCGGTGTTATATTTAACGGAGACACTGAAACTTCCGCACATTCAAAATTACAGAAAGGGAGAGATACTAGTTATATCAACGAAATAATAGGGAAAATATCTTGTGGGCAATATCAGTAAGTTTAAATCATTCCTGGTCAGTACTGCTTCAATACTAGCGAATTTTTTTATTAAGCACAAATCACATTATTTTCACAAAGGTTTAAAACAGAAAGTACCAATATGTCAACATAATCATAATTCCAAAATTAGATTCCATACAACTAGGACAAAATATTAACAAAATCAAGATAAACACGGAGACTCCTGAGAAAATACAATGATAAGTCTAGGTGTTCCGGAAGAGTAAGCGTTTTCTGCTTCATTGATGACAACCGCCATGTAAATCTTGGTCAATCCAAGCGAGTAACGTAACGTTTTCAAATGAGAACAGGATAGACAACAACCGAACCAACAGGCAAACTCGTTCAGCTTCAGAAATAAAAGTAAAATACTGAGGATGACGAATTACGTTTCTCTGCGATCCGAAATAGTGATCATTAAGTATGTAAAAGATTGTAAATAAGGCACGCTAGTGAATAGCGCTTGTTAGATACAGTATAATCAAACAATTACTGAAACTGCACCACACGTAGTTCGTCCTTTAGGTCTCGTCAGGTATACTAAGGGCCGAAATTTTGGCGCCAATGATGCTACCGAAAAAGATCCGAAACGATCGAAGGGAAAGTCAAATTTAATCGTAATCTCCCGTGATTTAACAGATAATTTTAGAACAACGTCACGTGCATGTGTATACTCTGAACTGTGCCGCAGATCGAATGAATTAAAACATGGCACGCAAGTTTAGGCATATCTTAGTAATTTAACGTCCGGCAGAAGTGGATCATGAATCTGCAATCTCGAAGATTGTTCAAAACACACACAAGCGAACAACACGTTTCTTTACAAATTTAAGTCAGATACCGTAGGGCCAAACAATGATTTAAACTGAATCATACAGCTGTTTCGTTCTTTTCATAGCGATTGTACTTGTTTAGTTGCCAAAAAGCTGTTGTAGGATACCCAATAGTGAAAAGAAATCAAATTTCGATCACTGATTAATGGCTTCACAGGCAAACCTCCTTTCATCTAATGTGTCTCAACACATTTGATCTCTAATATAAAAATGGATGTTCTCAAGTGAAGAGAAATACGTCTAGACATTGTTTTTCTATCCCAATACTTTGTGGCTGAAATATGTCACCAGTTCCTGTCCTTCTATTTCCGGCTGTGTATAAAGCGTGTTTTTGTTCCTTGCTCTGTGGTTTTTAAAGTTAAAAGTGTTGACTGGCAGAGTGATTTATTGAAATATAATAGATGGTTAAGAAACACTTGCTGATCAACTAATATGTGTGTTACGTTTCGAACTAAACGAATATACATTTTTAATCTGTTGAAAAACTATTAAGTATTGATTTGTAACCTATTACCCATTGTTGAAATTTTTTATCTTTAAGTGAATCTCGGTGAATGAAAGACTTGTAGGTGATGATGCAAAACTCCAAGTGCTCTTGATTAAATGACACCAAAACATTTCGAAACATTTAAATCGTTCGTTCCCATCCTCAGTAAAACAAATGCATATAAACAAAACAATGTTTTGAAATAAATAGCAGCATTAAAATGTTGAAATATTGAAGCCAAAGTCAGTGCAGTTTCGTTGCTGGTTTTACATCCTGATTTGGTAGAGAAAGGTGAGTGGGGGATATTTATTGAAAATAGTTCAAGCAGCTTTTTTCACGGGAACTTTTATTTATGGTTGTTTGTTTTATTTCTAAACACAGTAAACTTGGATAGTTTGTAGCTTGTGGATTAGTTTTCAATGTTGTTTTTAAGTCACATTTCTCCATAAAACGATCAAATTCGGGCATGTTCTTTCGTAATCCTTACATTCTTTATTGTAATTTACTTATTTGTCTAAAATCATGTACATAATATAGACCAATAATATACACCACTACAACTAATTGTAATGTGAAATAACAATAACACTGTCCGGATTCCCTCGGCAGGTATCTTAGGTGCAGTGTCAAACACCTATATTTAGATAAATTCAGTTTTAGAAAATCCAGCGCCTTCTGTACTAAGAAACACAAACGAAGAGTAATAGAGACCGCACGCACCATCACTCTCGTCGATATAGAGTCAAATTCCTCTTCTATAACGTAGTACAACCTCCTGGAAGTAATTCTGGTCAGATCCTGTCGGAACAGTTGGACAAATTGACCTAATTACGTGGATAGGGATACACGTAAACATTAGAAAACTACTTAACGATGAGTTAATGATGCCCCGTGTGTAATATAGATAAGGACAGCATAAAGGACCCCAAGAATGGTTTAACATCGAATGGCTGTAGACTGAGCTAGGGACAATAAACACATCTCTTGAACCACGGGATAATAAATCCAAGCCGTGTTCCATGGACAAACAATAGCAACGGCAAACGAACAACAAAGAAAATATTGGCATGTCCACAGATTTTTAATTCAAACTCGAATTCGGTGAAAATATGGCAAAATATGGGGAGGGAAAAATCAAGTGTTCCGGAAGGGTACGTGTGTTCTGCTTCATCGGCGACACCCGCCGTGTTAATCTTGATGAATCCAAGTAAGCAATGTCACGTTCCCTAACCAACATTCTGATCTCCCTAACAAAAACAATGTATACAACAACGGAACCAACAGGCGTACGAACGGGCACTTAACACGTCCAACTTCAATTACGGTAATCTTTTAAATTGGATCTGAAAAGGTTATTCTTTAAAGTAATAACTTTATTTCTTACTCTCGCATGTAGTATATTAGCTTTCCGATGGCTGATCTAATAATAAAATAATAATTTGGAACTAGCGTAGAGGTTCGAAACGAATTTTCAATGAGTGAGTAAGAAACGTTATGTCTAATTTCAAGGTCAAGTTGGTTCCAACGTTGGATAGTAGAAGGGAAAACGGTAAGCTCATCAAGTTGTAGTCGAAAAAAAATAGTAAAGATATTGTGAGTTTTCCGAGACTAAAGGAAGCAATAACGAGGACAGATAATTAAGTACACAGTATGAGTTTATTACTTATTGTGTATGAGAGCTGTAAATTTCTTCTAGAACGTCGTCCTAGAGCTTGTCATTTTTGTAGAATCGTAACAGATTTTTGACAGTATACACTCAGCGGCAATAATCTACCAAGTCAGTATCGTCAAATTTCTGTTTTTTAAAGTTTAAAATTAGCTTTACTACAACATTATAGAAACAGCCCAATAGTCAGCTCAACAGTCGTCGTTTTTTTGGTAAGAAAGGTCGTTGTCTATATGTCAATTACATCAGAAAAATTAGAAATTAACGTGCCAGAGAGTAGTAGGGGTCAAGTAAAGATGCGCCTGTGCGTGAAATTCGTGTCCGGCTGTCTATTTTGTGTGTGTGTGTTTTGTTCAGTTGTCTATCTCAAGTGTAGCACAGAATCATAACTTTTATAGGATAATATCAATAAATGTAGAAAAACTTGTCACAATTTACATCTGAGACACGACATAATACAGCGTAATTAAGAATGACACCGGTAAAACATCCTTAAGGTCAAGATACGATCATCGCCCGGTGATAAAAACTAAACTGTGCATTGCTCCTAATAACAAAAATTATCAGTTCAAGTGAGGTAAATGGTGTTACAAAATCAATTAAGATGATAGAGGACAGTCCAACTGAAATTAGTATTGAGACTAGAACTTCTGCTCAAACCTTTCCTTACGCTGCAACATAATTTAAAAATACAGAATATACACAAATTTGAATCTGTATTGTTCATTAAATTTATTTTAAAAAGCTTTGTATTGCTTTTCAAGAATTTGTAGTTATTATCACCGGTTTCCATAATATTGAAAGATACAGTCAATTAAAGTTCAGACAGCACAAAAATCATGACAGTCTAGTTGCAGCAACAAGCATACGGGATAGGATGGAGACGGATGGAAACTTTTGGGAGACGGGACCCATTTTTACGTTATCTGTGTCCTTTTTTTACAATATCCATTGTAAACAACTACTTCGACAGCATTGGACGGTCCATAAAGGAAAGGGAAACCTTACAATATAGCGACGCAATGGTGTATCGCTTTGATATCAGAAATAGTTAACCTAAAGCGTGGACTAAGATAGATAACTCCTGCTGCGACGCCTCTAACCATTTGATCTCTTTTCAAACTTAAACATTTCAGTTTTTTAAATTTTTTTTCCGGTTTGTAAATTCACCGTAAAAAATTGGTATAATCACACGCCAATAATCCTTTTATTCACACTGTTTTTGTATCGTGTGATAATGAAAAAAAGCCGATACCGCAGCACAGCCTGAAAGTTCTCAGAATTTTCAGGGCATTGATAGATTATAAAAGAAAAAATAAAGAAGAAAAATTAATTAGACAAACCTATACAAAAGCTTATATTAGAAGTCGATTACGAGGCATTACAGTGGACTGATTAATTATATAGCTAACCTCATCTAATTTAACAATAAAACTAGTGTCCCTATCAGAGGACAAGACCTTCTCCTTAAATTTACCACAGAAACTTCTAAAATAAACAGTATCGTTGTCTTTGCAATCTGCCTAATCCCCTAAAGAAGCTTACTTTTGTGCTAGTGACTAGTTTTCATCGACGTAATTAGAAATTCTAATAAACAGAAATTCTTATTTTTATTTGAATTTCCGGATATTTTGTGTCATCCGTTTCTTATTGTAGCATACGTATTTGTTTTCCGGTGAAGAAAAACGTGGTAAGTCGATCTACGACTTTATCTGTGTGCATCGAAAACATCCATTCTGACTGCTGACAACCGTTGTTCTTTGAAGATATTCGTAAGATGTGTTTGTTTGCACGAAATAGTACACTTAATACTACATTATATATCCCAAATTAATTAATGAATATTAGGCATCGAACAATCCAACATTTAATATGACTAGTACTATATACAATAACTTTGATTGTTGGATCTTTTTCACACATGCAAATGAAGGAATGTGCTCTAATTATACCAAAAACAGTAAATTTTAAAGCTGTTTTTCTTACGATGAGTTAAATACTTTATAGTATAATTTACATTTGACGCATGCAACTAAGTTAAGAAGGATCCTGCATTTTAAAATTCCCAAAGTTTCCATAAAATTAATGTTTACTATTCGCATTTCAGTTTACATTTCAAGTAAATTACAAGAAAAGGTTCACGGAGCTTGTCAGATGATCATAGCAGTACGTTAAAAAATCATAGCAGGAGAATGTTAACACCTGCCTTTGAACTTCTTCAGGACAAATCATATCTGACTCTCGTCATCAAAGCGCCATATGCTAAGGTGAGACACTCTGGTATAGTCATTCTCTGTAGGCAAATTGCTTACAGTACATGTCATTTCATTGAAGATGTATAAACACTACCAGAAAGCAGTAAACTTATTGTGATGTCAATGATGTCCTGTGAATATCCATTGAATTGAAAATACATTTTTATCAGGATAATTTCACCTGTCTTACATGATAATCTTTTTGAGAATTTCCACTTTCATGTCAAATTTTGCTATGATACGATGTTCTCCTAAACATCAGTGTGACATGGAATTTATTAGACTTGTATTTCATATGATGATTGTCTAAATTTAAGTTTGTTCAATACCACATTATATAATTGGGTTTAATAAATTCTTTGAGTCCTAGCTTGGTACATGTACAAAGGGTAAGGATATTTTTTACAATGGTTTACTTGTCTCATTCTGATGGAGACAGAAAGGTTTTTGAAATTTGTTGAATTAGTGTGATGGATCATCGTCTGGCATAGATATGGTAAACTTTATTTTGGATATACATTGATATTAATTTTTGATATTTTTTGTACCACAGGTTTCGGATGCAGAAATCTTTATTGAAGATGAGGAAGTGAGATTTTTTTCAAAACCATACTTTCTAAGGTAATTAAAGAATAAATCAGTTTTGACATAAATTGTGTAAAAGACTTATAATCCCAACAGGAGCTACCTTCAGAAACACACAACAATTTATATACATCCATCGATTGTGTACAGTTTTAGTCCTAATCATGTAAATTACCAGAGCTCATGCATATATTAAATAAATAAATATGCTTTTCAATGAGCATGCAAGATACCCAAAATATCACTACAATTCATTTACCTGTTTTAGTATATTTTGGTAAAAACAATGATACACGTTTATGATATAATTTTTATGCTAAGAGCATTTTCAATGCTCTTCAGCATGTTGCTATCGCCCCTGAGGCTGAGTATCAAGTACTTCGTTTTCATTGGTTCATAAATCGAAAGTTTACTCCTACTCCATCTGCCGGACATTACCGTAATCATTGGATTATCGCCCCTACAAGTTGCTGATGCTAGTCATTAAATGAAACAACCTTATCGACATTTTCTTCATTACCTGTACATCAAGAAAATGTTTTGTGTTGTGTATTAATGATAATCAGACATCGAAATTTGTAAATACAATGACAAAGACTCACGTTTATGGTGGTAAATTTTGCGAGGCGATGCCAATATGGCGGCTTAACTTTCTTTTCCGCGCGATGCATTGTGGGAGTCATATACATTTGTATATCTTTCTATTTTTCTTTTTTCGAAAATTTACTTCCCGTTTAATACTGTTGATAACTATTAAAAATACTTATATATGTAGTTGAAAATAAAAATGAAACTAAAATAAGAATGATTTAGAGTAGCATAAAATTTTGACGGAAACAGCCGGGGTGCTCTGTGCTGCTGGACCCTGAAAGAAGACGGCGGCTGAAAGAAGATGGCGGGTAATTCATGTAGGTAAGTATCACTATATATATATATGTTAGCTGAATTTGAAGTCAATACTTATACTGAACTATCAATTGCATTTTTTGCAACAATTCATTTGGAATGAGCCTTCGCGTCTAGTGAATTTTGGCTGCACTTTTTTTTCAAAATATTTTCAAGACTTTTCCCTTGAAGCAGTATGCATTTGAAAAATGTGATGTAAGCATCTAGCACATTTTTGTTGCTTCCGTAAAGTATTTCAGTATTTTGGAATGGATTTATTTTGGAATGATCGTTTCATAATGGTCTCATCGCAGTCACTTCTGTCAGTGGCCCAACAGATCGGAAATTAACCAGAAAAAAAAACTTATCCGTAATATTGTACTGTACTACTTACGCTACCGTGAATAGATCTAGGAATCTGTCTGGGTAATATATCGATTTTACTTTAAAATATCTGTCACTGTCCGCGCTATTGTAGGTCTAGCTCTTTCAAATTTCTGATCGGAGATAATTTATAAGTACCCCAACGGCCCAAGGCCAGAGTATGAAATCGTACGGGAACTCTACAGCTATGCTAATTTTAAGGTTTACATGTGAAGTTAATATATATAGTTTTAGCTTAATTTTAGTTTTTGTCTTTCTGACATGATGTCTCGTTGATTCTGTTGAAGAGTGATGCATGTGAACGATTACAATATGAAGATTAGGAATAATGAAGATGTCAATTAACATCTGATTCCCGGAAAGTATTTTAATAAAGATTAGGATAAACCTAGCAAAGTGTTAGGTCCCAGTGTGAATGTGTAAAGTTCCAGTGTGAATGTGTAAAGTCCCAGTGTGAATGTGTAAAGTATTATTGGTACAATTGAACTTTTTGATATATGTACTGTATTTGTTCATCTCAGAAATTTCAGTATTATGTCAACTGCGTCCACTTTCAGTTCAACACTTTTGATTCATCAATTTTACCCAGCCCTAGGCTCAATATTTGTCATTAATTGTCGACTGTTTTTTAGAGTTTTGTTTTCATGGTGAATGGAATGAAATGAGATAAATAGTCTAACCAATACCCCTCGAGAGCTAATTAAGACATTGCAGTATTATCATTTTGGGCCTTATTAAAAGTCAAATTGCAACTTTTAAGAAACTCAAGTGACTGTAAGTACAACAATAAGATGTCAATAATCAATGAAATTGATTAATTGAGAAGACATTTTCTTAGTACAGTTAACCAGGCTTTGTAGTGGTTTGTTCAGAACTGTAGTTCTGGTTAAGTAACCATTAATTGTGTCCTTTCAGTTACAATGACATACATTTTTGAAATACCTCTACTGTAGCTAAATATGGCATTTGTAATAGACAGCCAACATTAATTTTGTGATAGACATAGCCAAATTTAATTTTAGGATCAGTTAGGACAGCTACTGTTTGTAACAGGCATGGGTTCAATTACATGATGACGTAATTAATGAAATTACAATTACATTATGAAAATGGCATTGCCATTGCATGACGGTCCAATGTAATTAATTAAATTACACATTACCTTTCAAGTCATAATGATTTTTGAAATACAAACGTCAAAATAAATTATCATACTGCACAGATTTATCTCATGAATTTAACTTTATGATTCAATCTCTGTATGACCATGGTCAAGATATTCTTATTTTCTAGCTGTCCATCACTTCATAATTTGACAGTCCTGAATGTCAAAATAATTAATTATATTTAATATAGACTCCTATTGGGAAGTTCAAGACTATAAGCTTATACAGAAGTGTATATTTCTTGCACATAATCATAGCAATAAAGAAATATAGTTATTTATTTCCCTTACTCTCTTTCAGCAGGTGGATGTCCCTGAAGAAATGAAATCTGGAATGGTAGAAGGTATCTCTTGATTCTTCTAACTTGGAATTGGCCATTGTGACCAACAATGGATTTGAGGACCTTATGGTGGAGAAAAACGTCCTTCTTTCCGACCTCCAATTAGATGTTGAAGATGGTTAATCACTTGAGGATATGCTAACAACCATGTTGCCTTTTAAGGTCACAGTACTCTCTAAAGGCGGCAATATATTTACCATCACAAAAGAAGAATCAACAAATGGCAGAAACTAAACAAATGTGGAAAAGATCATTGTATGCTGCATTTGTAGTAAATTTCTTTACAATCTTCAATTTACTTAAGTAGAAAGATTCACTAGTTATACCAAGTTTATGTAGAAAGGCTCACTGTATACTGAGTTTGTAGTGTACATAGAAAGGTTTACTTATTTTTTTTTTCTGAGTTATGTATATACAATATATATAAAAACTTTTTGTAGAAAAGATCACCGCATACTGAGTTTGTTGTTTACAAATGTGTAGAAAAGATTGCTGTATACCGAGTTTATAGTTTACAATTGTCTAGAAAAATCACTGTATACTGAACATAATACGACTTCTGTTTAAAACCTTCATTTAAACTTAGACATGTATTTTTTTTTATTTATCTTAAAAGTCTACCTACAACAATTTTGTGTATGCAATCTTGTACTAGGATATTTACATGACAAGATTACATTGCTGATCAAAGCATGGAAAGAATACTGAATAAAGAAAACAAGATATAAGCATCTTTATCATGTTTTTATTTTTATTATTATCATTATTATTTTTCCATGATGTCTGTCCACATGGAATTTGTAAGCACTCTTGTGCATTCTTATACCACCAAAAGGGTGGGTAAATCGAATCAAGTTGTCTATCTGTCCATCCATCTGTTTGTCTGTCTGTAGACACATCTTGTCTAGACAACTCCAATGAAACTACAGTAATATTCGGGACAATGTGTAGATGTGCATGCACCATTTTCCCCTGGAAATATTGATTGCCATGGCATCTGGTCAATATAGACAGGTTTTGCATGTCGGTCAACTTCTAAACCTGTGGACCAATTTCAACAAAACTTCGCAGGAATATTAGGGAACATGTGCACATGCCGCTGTGTTTCAGAGGATGTTTTTTTGCAAAAGGTCACCATGGGGAGATAACTAAGGCTGTGGGTGATGGGGGTATTAGCTATTTGGATTACAGTTTCAGTTATCCCTGGGCAATGTGGAGAGGATATAGTAATGATTTTGAGGATTGAATGTAGAGGTCACAGTACTTGCATAAGTACTATATGATTACCTTGTAAACGCATTGAGACCAAGACAGTTAGTATACCTTAATCAAATTTGGAACATGTATCCCTTGTGAGGAGAAGTCGGTTTCTTTAGAAATTCAGGGTCAGATATCAAAGATCAAGGTCACAGTCAAAAAACGGATAGTTGCATGGGGGTGTTTTTCCATTGTATTACCGTCGTTTTTCTATCAAATTTCACAACCTAAAAGATATTCACATCTTGTAAATTTCAAGGTTCAAGGTCACTGTAAGGATGTTAAAAAAAATGATAATACAAGAGGAATAAAATATCTTGTGACAAGTTTTAGAGAACAAAGAATATATAAACATGAAAAATTGGAACAAAGTCAATATCTACTTGAAGATTCCCAGAAAAAGTACAAGGAGAATAAGACCAGGTTTTCTGGAAGAATAGGCATCTTCTATTTTAAGTTATGGTGACAAGTCATGTTTGTTTTAGAAAATTGGCACTCTTTTGCAGTCTTTTACAAACAATCTGGAAAATGAAGCTGTCCAATATTTGTATGTAGCATGTTATTTGCATGATGGTCTAACTAATGGTCTTAAACCAATAGGATACACAGTCTTTAAAGTGATAATATGGTGTCCATGATCAACATTCCCTACAATGTATCCAAAGAAATAGACAATTTCCCTATCATTGCATCTTGGAGCCTACTTGGGACATGTATTACATAAGTAATACTACTATGCTTGTTATTTCTGATATCTGCTGGTCATTTTTTATGGGCTGCAATGATTTATTGATTGCATATAGTTGGTTTCAGTATATAGCAAGCTAATAACAAAGAATTTATTTTTTAATGGTCTTAGCATACCAGTACTTTCAGTACTTTGATTTTTCCTATAATGGCTGTTTTATCAGTGTAGTTGATGGCTTGCTTCAGTTCAGCTTCAGTTTGGAATTAATAACTTTACACAATACATTCACTATGTGCAGATAAAGAGCTAGTTTTTTTTATACTCCAGTAACATTAAATACATGTATGTGCTATCTTACTTGAAGCAACTGTGTAACATGCAGTGTATACCTGGGTATACCGATCTGGCTCCAAAATATTATCTTTAAGCACCACTTTTAGATTGCTCTTCACTAGTAATTACTCATCATTTTATTCAATGTTATCTTTTTTGTATTATTACTTGGTAAACTTGGTATTTTTATTTGGGTTAAATCTGTGAATAAAATATTATGCTGTTTTTATGGTAAAAGAAATCATTTGTTGATAAATTTTGTTTTGTAGATTGAATTTGCCAGGGAAATTAATAGAAGATGGCAGAGAGAGTGCTAAATACAACTCAGATGATGGTATGTGTCTCACCTGTATCATACATAGGTAAAGAGTGTGAGTGATGTCACTCAGATGATGGTAGGTGTCTCCCCTGTATCATACATAGGAATAACATGTGATTGATGTCACTCAGATGATGGTAGGTGTCTCCCCTGTATCATACATAGGAATAACATGTGATTGATGTCACTCAGATGATGGTATGTGTCTCCCCTGTATCATACATAGGAATAACATGTGATTGATGTCACTCAGATGATGGTATGTGTCTCCCCTGTATCATACATAGGAATAACATGTGATTGATGTCACTCAGATGATGGTATGTGTCCACCCTGTATCATACATAGGAACAACATGTGATTGATGTCACTCAGATGATGGTATGTGTCTCACCTGTATCATACATAGGAATAACATGTGATTGATGTCACTCAGATGATGGTATGTGTCCACCCTGTATCATACATAGGTATAACATGTGATTTATGTCACTCAGATGATGGTATGTGTCTCCCCTGTATCATACATAGGTATAGCATGTGATTGATGTCACTCAGATGATGGTATGTGTCTCACCTGTATCATACATAAATATAGAGTGTGATTGATGTCACTTAAATGATGGTATGTTTCTCACCTGTATCATACATAGGTGTAGCATGTGAGTGATGTCACTCAGATGGTGGTATGTCTCACCTGTATCATACATAGGTGTAGAGTGTGATTGATGTCACTCAGATGATGGTATGTGTCTCCCCTGTATCATACATAGGTATAGCATGTGATTGATGTCACTCAGATGATGGTATATGTCTCCCCTGTATCATACATAGGAATAACATGTGATTGATGTCACTCAGATGATGGTATGTGTCTCCCCTGTATCATACATAGGAATAACATGTGATTGATGTCACTCAGATGATGGTATGTGTCTCCCCTGTATCATACATAGGAATAACATGTGATTGATGTCACTCAGATGATGGTATGTGTCTCCCCTGTATCATACATAGGTATAACATGTGATTGATGTCACTCAAATGATGGTATGTGTCCACCCTGTATCATACATAGGTATAGCATGTGATTGATGTCACTCAGATGATGGTATGTGTCTCACCTGTATCATACATAAATATAGAGTGTGATTGATGTCACTCAGATGATGGTATGTGTCTCCCCTGTATCATACATAGGAATAACATGTGATTGATGTCACTCAGATGATGGTATGTGTCTCCCCTGTATCATACATAGGAATAACATGTGATTGATGTCACTCAGATGATGGTATGTGTCTCCCCTGTATCATACATAGGAATAACATGTGATTGATGTCACTCAGATGATGGTATGTGTCTCCCCTGTATCATACATAGGTATAACATGTGATTGATGTCACTCAGATGATGGTATGTGTCCACCCTGTATCATACATAGGTATAGCATGTGATTGATGTCACTCAGATGATGGTATGTGTCTCACCTGTATCATACATAAATATAGAGTGTGATTGATGTCACTTAGATGATGGTATGTTTCTCACCTGTATCATACATAGGTGTAGCATGTGAGTGATGTCACTCAGATGGTGGTATGTCTCACCTGTATCATACATAGGTGTAGAGTGTGATTGATGTCACTCAGATAATTGTATGTGTCTCCCCTGTATCATACATAGGAACAACATGTGATTGATGTCACTCAGATGATGGTATGTGTCTCACCTGTATCATACATAGGAATAACATGTGATTGATGTCACTCAGATGATGGTATGTGTCCACCCTGTATCATACATAGGTATAACATGTGATTTATGTCACTCAGATGATGGTATGTGTCTCCCCTGTATCATACATAGGTATAGCATGTGATTGATGTCACTCAGATGATGGTATGTGTCTCACCTGTATCATACATAAATATAGAGTGTGATTGATGTCACTTAAATGATGGTATGTTTCTCACCTGTATCATACATAGGTGTAGCATGTGAGTGATGTCACTCAGATGGTGGTATGTCTCACCTGTATCATACATAGGTGTAGAGTGTGATTGATGTCACTCAGATGATGGTATGTGTCTCCCCTGTATCATACATAGGTATAGCATGTGATTGATGTCACTCAGATGATGGTATATGTCTCCCCTGTATCATACATAGGTATAACATGTGATTGATGTCACTCAGATGATGGTATGTGTCTCCCCTGTATCATACATAGGAATAACATGTGATTGATGTCACTCAGATGATGGTATGTGTCTCCCCTGTATCATACATAGGAATAACATGTGATTGATGTCACTCAGATGATGGTATGTGTCTCCCCTGTATCATACATAGGTATAACATGTGATTGATGTCACTCAGATGATGGTATGTGTCCACCCTGTATCATACATAGGTATAGCATGTGATTGATGTCACTCAGATGATGGTATGTGTCTCACCTGTATCATACATAAATATAGAGTGTGATTGATGTCACTTAGATGATGGTATGTTTCTCACCTGTATCATACATAGGTGTAGCATGTGAGTGATGTCACTCAGATGGTGGTATGTCTCACCTGTATCATACATAGGTGTAGAGTGTGATTGATGTCACTCAGATAATTGTATGTGTCTCCCCTGTATCATACATAGGTATAGCATGCGATAGGTGTCTCTTGTCAGTGGAAACAGATTCATATACATCTCTCACACTATTCTATCATATATATGTAAAGCCTTACCAAAATCTGCCTTGATCTTCCATGTACCAAGATTTTACTTGAACAAAGTCTTCAGAAAAGATACAACATCTAATATTAGATTATAACTTTGTTGTATTAGCGAATACTAATTCGAAATTGAGTTATCTTTCATCAGGAAATAGTGATGGACAGTGCCGTGTTGTATGAAATTGAAAATACTTACCTGTATAGCTTGTTACAGTGGAATTCTGTGATGATTATTGTCAAATAATGAAGTTACTGTTATATCAAACTCTAAGTAGCAGCTTGATTGTTACCGATCTTGAATCTGTTTTACAGGAAGTTTCACCATTAAGATTCCTAAGGCAACTGAAGGAGAAATCTTTGAGGGGTTGGACATGCTCACCAAATTGTTGACCCCAAAAGGTCAAACTTCAGCAGCATCTCCCCTCATACAGGTGCTGGGTATGTCATTTCATTATCATTTTAGTAGTTTACTAATCAGAACTCCTGTCAATCGGATTTTCGTGCACTAACATACAACTGCATCAGTCCATTCTGTGTTGGAGAGGTTGGCAAACATTCAGACTAATAAGAGAAACAGCCAAGGGAACTTGGATGCAGTGATGAGAATATGCCATGAAGATGAAGACCTTAATGACAAGAAAAAAGAAGTGCTTGTGGATCTCTTTAAAAATTTCAAAAACAGGAAAGTTAACCTGTAATGTCAATGTGGAACTGTAATGTAGGCGTAAATTTACAGAAAAACTTGCCTGTATTGTGTTTTTGAAATATCACTGTAGTGTGAACGTTATACCTACCCAATAAAAAAAAACATACCAAACGTAAAACTATACTTGGTTTTGTTTTAACTAGTAGTCTAGTGTTTTTCCAATTTCCTGAAAATGTTGTGAAATTTTCCTAATTTAAAAGGTACAGGCTGCTTTGAAAAAAGGCAAAAAATCACTGTATATTTAGTTTGAACCAATATCAAATGTGGGCACATATGTGGCTATTTTGGATATTGAATTTCTTCTCATAATTTGATGAGCGAGTTAAGCATGGGTCCTGATGGAACATGTTTGGCAGGACGTTTATTATATGTTTGTCAGTAACCTTTTTATTGAGGTAATTGTATTTTTTGTAACAGATTCATCCACTGAAGCTACAAACCCAGCAGGCACAGAGCTGGAAATAGATGAAGATTTTGACTGGCACATTGATCAGAAGGTATATGTGGAGGAGGAACTACCTCTGGATGCCCCAAAATATGGCTTTGGTAACACAAAAAGTGGCGTATTTAAACGACTTCAGGTAAATTTGACTTTGTCTTCAGAGATTTAATTACTTTTATTTTTAATGTAACTTCAGTGTTATCCTACTTTCAACTACTACATCCTAGAATAAATTTCTGCTTGTGATGATCATAAAAAGTGACTTAAAAACAAAGGTTGGTTTCTGGTACATCTGTATTGTGAAAGGTCCTATTTACTCTTCATCGAAAGTGAAAGCATTTACTGTAGGGTGACAGTGTTGGCATCTACCCAAACATATGTAACTTTTATTCTGTAGATTACAGATTTAAAGATATTTTAAAGGTAGTACCTAAATCTATATGTACACAGGAAGACATAATCGATGTTGTCAGTCTCCGTGACCCAGATGGCTGTTGTCCGACAGAGCGGAGAGAAAAACGCACTCAAGCAGAGCAGGACAAATTTGACCCAGACTATTACCTGTAAGACTGAGTATAATTCCAGTTACTATTAATAAAGTGTTAACAAAATCTGTTACATGTAAGATTAAAATGTGTAGTTTATGTCAGATATTTTGTTTTTTTATTTCAAGACAGAGTATAACTCAATTTGTACTTTATGTTCAAAAAGTAAATATTTTGTCAAACAATGTTTTTTCTTTTTGTGCATGATGAAAGATTTTATTTTCAACAGTAATCAAATTATTGAAAATGTTTTTAGAAAATCTAATGTTGCTTTATTCTAAATGAAACTTTCTAATCATTAGTATTTTAATTAGAAATCTGAATGATCCTAATCAATGATTCAGAAATATCTTTCCTTCACTTCAAACAATTTTTGTAATAAAAATCACAATATCCAAACTTGAGTGTACGCCACTTTTCGCTGAAATTCTAAATGTGATTTTGCGATGTGAAGTCTGTATATATGGATGCATACAGAAGATTAATGTATTTTTCATAGCAGTATAAAAAATTAATTAAAAGAAAAAAAATTGCAGTATTTTCAATAATGTAAAATAAACTTTCGAAATCAATTCCTTGCAGCTGAATTTTTCTATGCAATGAGTTGATTTTAATTGCAATTGTTTATATGAATAACATGACTTTAAGTTGCCTGATAGACTTGAATTATCTGTAATGTGTTATACATCCATTTACAATTTTCAAATTCTCTAAAACAAGCTAATTTATTTCAAACAGAGCAGATTTGTATGATGATGGCATCGTACAAGACCTTATGAATTATAGAGCACCATGGGAAAAACAACTGAAGTCTATGGAGCAAGGTAATGGCTGTGTCTACATTTGGTGCTAGTATGCTCCACACTTGTCGGTTTTATAATGAAGGTGACATTGTAGTCATCGAAACGTCACACTTTAATGTTTTACTGGTTATGTTATAAGAACTTCTTTTCTATTCATGTATACTATTTATGGAAAGTATGATCCCATAGATACAGAGCACAAGAAGTATGACTCCATATATATCACCTTTAGGAAGTATGATCCCACAGATACAGAACACAAGAAGTATGACTCTATATATATCATCTATAGATAGTATGCTCCCACAGATACAGAACACAAGGAGTGTAACTCCATATATATCACCTTTAGGAAGTATGATCCCACAGATACAGAACACAAGAAGTATGACTCTATATATATCATCTATAGAAAGTAGGATCCCACAGATACAGAACACAAGAAGTATGACTCCATATATATCACCTTTAGGAAGTATGATCCCACAGATACAGAACACAAGAAGTATGACTCTATATATATCATCTATAGATAGTATGCTCCCACAGATACAGAACACAAGGAGTGTAACTCCATATATATCACCTTTAGGAAGTATGCTCCCACAGATACAGAACATAAGAAGTGTAACTCCATATATATCACCTTTAGGAAGTATGATCTTTTAGATACCACACACAAAGAGTGTAACTCTTCATGTACATATTTGTATTTCAGTGAAATTTACAGATTCAGAAAACGAGAAGATGAGAAATCTACCAAAGAAAGAATGTATCCTTGCTATTAAATTAATTTAAGGTTTGAATTGTATTTCTGCAGAGAGTTAATATTATTAGAGTGGAAATTTTAAATGTATTAGTATCCTTTAAATTTGTTAATTTGAATGAATTCATGGCTATGTCTTGTCTAGTGTAGAAGTCAGAATATCAGATACTATGGAAAGTTGACGGGCCTAGAGAAATGTATGCAGCATTCTCCTTCTCATATTTATTATTGAACTAACATCAGATACTCATACCAAGAAAATTCCATACCTCATTGAAAAAGAGTTACTTCTCTTCCCTCAGAATAACTTAATATAGTTCTAGCAGTCTTTCCTTGCTATCAGATTTTTTTTGCATACTGAAGAAATCTCATGGGAGAAAATAAAATGTTTGGAGGGCTAATGAAACAGATTTATATATGGTGTGTGTAAGAACAAAATTTGATGTACAGCCTTGACTTGAGAGATCTATTAGAGGAGAAACAACTAATAGGAATCTACCTAGGCCTTGTGGATCTCTTGTTTGCCTATGCCTACAACCATCGTTCTACAGAGAGCGAGAACAATGTAAGTATTTACACATGAACTAGGGATTGAAATTTATAGAAGTTGTGTTATGTGTTACATGAAATTAATCATAAACACCTCACAACAGAACAGATATACCAGACAATAGGTATTTTCTGATTTTATCAAATTCCTCATTCAACCATCATAAATCTACAATTGTATAATGTAAATGTTTATTGCCAAGAGAAAAACGTTTTTATTATTTGGTATACATAACCTTTCAAGTTTAAAAAAATAGCCATTTGTCTGGTTCAGGTATAACACTGTACACTACAAATGTCTGTTGTTTGTTGAGAAAGATGTAATTTAAATTATCTATTTGAACAAAATCTAATTGTAGGTGGAGTCTGCCTGGACTATCTGTAACCTGAGTGCCACCTTATCATGGCTAGATGTAAGTGTGATAATTCTTATAGGAAATATTTCTTCCAGGAAGGTAAAACCTCATACAGGTAGTGTTCAGTAACTTTACATCAGAACTGTTCTTACTAACAAACTACAGTAACTCAGAATAGGTTAACATGTAATCATTGATTCTCCATGTTATGTAGGTGAATAACTTTCGTTTTAGGTATACATGTTGTACCCTTAACTCTATCATTATACCAGTAAGGTATGTTGTTTTTATCAACTGTCCTGAATAATAGAAACAAATAAGAAGATGTCAACTGAGATCATTGAAATTTGTTCATAAAAATGAACACAAAACAAGATTTTTTCTAAAGCTCTTGAATCTCTCTTGTTGTGTTATGAACTTATATATGTTGTGGGTATTGTTGTTACTATGCATGTGTCTAATTGTAGGAATTCCACTCCATTGAAGATGTGGTGGTGAGCTCATTACGTCGCAGTTTGTGTTACCCCCTATATCGGCAGTGGGCCTTCTCCACTAAAGTGCTTTCAGACACTCGACACATTCTAAAGCAAGGTAAATAAACTTTTAAAGCTAAAGTGTTGTCAGAGACCTGACAGATCCTACAACTATGTATGTTAAAGGAGATTTTCTCCACTAAAATCCTCTCAGATTCTTAACAGGTCCTACAGCTAGGTGAGGACTTTCCCACTAAAATCCTCGCTGATACTCAACAGGTCCTACAGCTAGGTGAGGACTTTCCCACTAAAATCCTCTCAGATACTCAACAGGTCCTACAGCTAGGTGGGGACTTCTCCACAAAAATCCTCTCAGATACTCAGCAGATCCTACAGCTAGGTGAGTAGGACTTCTCCACAAAAATCCTCTCAGATACTCAACAAGTCCTACAGCTAGGTGAGGACTTCTCCACAAAAATCCTCTCAGATACTCAGCAGATCCTACAGCTAGGTGAGTAGGACTTCTCCACAAAAATCCTCTCAGATACTCAACAAGTCCTACAGCTAGTAGAGTACTTTCCCACAAAAATCCTCTCAGATACTCCACAAGTCCTTCAGCTAGGTGAGGACTTCTCCACAAAAATCCTCTCAGATACTCAGCAGGTCCTACAGCTAGGTGAGGACTTCTCCACAAAAATCCTCTCAGATACTCCACAAGTCCTTCAGCTAGGTGAGGACTTCTCCACAAAAATCCTCTCAGATACTCAGCAGGTCCTACAGCTAGGTGAGGACTTTCCCATTAAAATCCTCTCAGATACTCCACAAGTCCTTCAGCTAGGTGAGGACTTTCCCATTAAAATGCTCTCAGATACTCAACAGGTCCTACAGCTAGGTGAGGACTTTCCCATTAAAATGCTCTCAGATACTCAACAGGTCCTACAGCTAGGTGAGGACTTTCCCACTAAAATCCTCTCGGATACTCAACAGGTCCTACAGCTAGGTGAGGACTTTCCCACTAAAATCCTCTCGGATACTCAGCAGATCCTACAGCTAGGTGAGGACTTTCCCACTAAAATCCTCTCGGATACTCAACAGGTCCTACAGCTAGGTGAGGACTTTCCCACTAAAATCCTCTCAGATACTCAACAAGTCCTACAGCTAGGTGAGTACTTTCCCACTAAAATCCTCTCTGATACTCAACAGGTCCTACAGCTAGGTGAGGACTTTCCCACTAAAATCCTCTCAGATACTCAACAGGTCCTACAGCTAGGTGAGGACTTTCCCACTAAAATCCTCTCTGATACTCAACAGGTCCTACAGCTAGGTGAGTACTTTCCCACAAAAATCCTCTCAGATACTCCACAAGTCCTTCAGCTAGGTGAGGACTTCTCCACAAAAATCCTCTCAGATACTCAGCAGGTCCTACAGCTAGGTGAGGACTTTCCCACTAAAATCCTCTCAGATACTCAACAGGTCCTACAGCTAGGTGAGGACTTTCCCACTAAAATCCTCTCAGATACTCCACAAGTCCTTCAGCTAGGTGAGGACTTCTCCACAAAAATCCTCTCAGATACTCAGCAGGTCCTACAGCTAGGTGAGTAGGACTTCTCCACAAAAATCCTCTCAGATACTCCACAAGTCCTACAGCTAGTAGAGTACTTTCCCACAAAAATCCTCTCAGATACTCCACAAGTCCTTCAGCTAGGTGAGGACTTCTCCACAAAAATTCTCTCAGATACTCAGCAGGTCCTACAGCTAGGTGAGGACTTTCCCATTAAAATGCTCTCGGATACTCAACAGGTCCTACAGCTAGGTGAGGACTTTCCCACTAAAATCCTCTCTGATACTCAACAGGTCCTACAGCTAGGTGAGGACTTTCCCACTAAAATCCTCTCTGATACTCAACAGGTCCTACAGCTAGGTGAGGACTTTCCCACTAAAATCCTCTCAGATACTCAACAAGTCCTACAGCTAGGTGAGGACTTTCCCATTAAAAACCTCTCAGATACTCAACAAGTCCTACAGCTAGGTGAGTAGGCCTCCATCATCATACAGACTGAAGTGTTAATTTGTCCTATGTTTATGTTATACAGGTAAAACCTACATACTGAAGTGTCTGTTAGAGATAGAAGACCTCCTCACTCACACCTATCCTTACTATATTCTCAACAACTTGTACATCACCGACTACTGTGTGTGGATACAGACTGCCAGGTAAGTTATGTAGTTCTGAGGTGTTTTGATAACCAATTAATTAAGACTGTTTGTAATTGGGATTTTCAATTAAGAAATAGAATAGACATTGGCATAGGAAAAAAGTCAGTTGTTAAAGACACAAGGACAATAGATCCTTGTTGCTATGGAGACGATATCTCTGATTGCAGTAATGTCAAATTGTTCTATATATAGATCCAGGATTCGTATTCATCACCAATAATAATCCAAACTTTTTTCATGATGGATATCGCAATTATTTTGTTAATGTCATTTGTAATTCGAAATATCTAGCTCTTAGCATTTTATGACCTCCAGGTATATTACTTATTGTCCGAGTCATGGCCAAGAGCTTCAGTTAAAGGCAGGCTCTCATCTGAGTTGAGAGATATCATCCTCTCAGATGTTTTACATGTGGTTATATAGATATTCTGTAAACATACAAATACATCCATACGTCACACAGATAATGTAATTGTGTAACTTTCGTTTCAGTGATAAAAGACTGGCTTCTCTGACAGATGCTTTAACAACAGTAAGTGTCATAGCTTTAGAAACGAACAATATAAAACCACATTAGTCTTCCTTCCAAATAATAAGTCTTTTATCCTGTAATTCTTTCTTAATACAGTTACATATCTGTTCTACTTATTTGATCCAGCTGTTTTCATGAGAGTGTTTTTCACTCGTAAGCAAAATTATGTGTCAAAACTAATGCAGAGCATCTGTCTACCTTTTATCTTAATATTTATTCTTAAATCTCTATTAATTGGGTACAATTTACATATATGTATTCCTATTTCTTTCTGTATGGAAAAAAAATTACTAAACATTTACCTTTGTAAACAAAAATTTAATACACAAAGAGGCTAGCAGGCTAACAGATTGGCAGATTTTACAGCTGTTTGCTTATTTTCCTTTCAGATGTCTGTCCATAAGGACATGGTTGGACTTAATTTATGTGAAGTAGAAGTGGAGGCTGCAGAGGAAAATGATCACAGCGTGAATGTACTTACAGAAAGTGTCTCTCAGATTGGCTTGCTGCCACATAAAGGTGTTCTTGTCTCCAGTAACACTAAGGATAGTGATGATGACAGCACTGAATCTGAATCTAGTAGTTACGAAAGCTCAGAAACTGATGATGAAAGCACAGAAACTGATGATGAAAGCACAGAAACTGATGATAAAAGTACAGAAAGTGGTGATGAAAACACAGAATGTGGTGATGAAAATAAACTTGTTACTAATAATGCAGAAAATGATGAGGATAATGAACAAAATATCAGTCACAAGAAAAAATGTGATGAAGACACACAAGTCAATGAAATGGAAAAACATGAGACATTCTTAAATGGGGAATTTACTAATTCTAAAGAAAATATAAAGAATGTGAATGGAAGTCATGGACATGAAGGAAGTCCTGTGATTACTTGTGGTGTAGTACACACACGACATTGATAAACCGTCTATACTGATATGATAGAATTTTTACCATCTGTTCTATATCTACAATATCATTACATAGCTGGCAACAACTTAGAACCAGAGAACTGACAAATGTCAGGAAGATTCTGGTATTGTGTTGGACTCCTATCCTAAGATTTACATAGATATGGATGTTTTGTTTTTTGTTGTATAGACAATAATTTGCTTATGGAATACGGATAAATAGTTCAAAATTTGATCTTGACCTCTGACCTGACGACCTTGACATGTTGTGGGTCAATGTCTCATTTCATTTTCAGTCAGTAAGGCTTTACTATACCATGAAATGTCTTGGTGAAATATTTCCAGTTTGACCTTGAAATTTGACCTTATGACCTTGATCCATGCTTAGATGACTTCTCATATGATTTCAATCAGTGATGTGCCATAACATCATAAGTAAATACTTACTAGTTACATTAAAATATGATATATTATTTGCCAAGTATTCCCATTTCTATTAATGGTATTGGTAACCTTGACCTTTGCAATCTGAACATGAAAAGCAATTGAGAGATACATCGTAGCATTTACTGCAAAGAAACAGTTGAGAATGTAGTAATCGTAATCTTGACTTTAATCTCAGGACCGGAAAAAAAACTCCTAGACAAGCAATTCCTTCAGAATAAAAGAATTTTTATACAACTACAAGCTTTTGAAATTAGTCTAGTCAAGGCCGTACTAAATGTGGGAAGAATTTTACTGTCCGTCTCTTCAGTGGTGAAGTATAATATACATTGTCTTAGGTATCTTTTTCTAATTCTAACATGAATACTTCCTTAGTTTTTGAAGATGTTCTAACCAGGAAGTATCAGGTATCAACAGGTTTTGAACTACTGCATGAAATAAAGAAGTCCTACATTTCATGTCTTGTTTGATTATTGTTGTATCTATATATGTCAGACATGTACTTCCTGAAATCAATAGTCTTCTTTTGTAAAGAAGTATTGGTTAATGATGGTGTGAAGTTTTTCTTCGTAGTTGCCTGAATGTTCTTATACTTGGTTGTTTACAGTTAAATAGTTCTAGACAGCATTGAAATCAATCATCAGTCTTTTAGCTCACCTGGCCTGCATCATTATAAATAATGATAATAATAAAAGACTTTATTGAAGGTCAATGACATTTTGAGTGTACATTACTTTTTGCAAGTAGTCGACATCAGAAATGTACAATATTTACATCAAGTAAAATTGAAATATGGCCAAATATAAAATATTACAGTTTGAATAAAATCAGTTAAAAGATGCGTTATGAATGCATATAAAACATGTGACACACACAGTAGCGATTAAGAGTTACTTAAAATACAATAATGAGATACTGTTACGATGACAAGATCTTCTAAAACTTCCAGGGAGTGGAATTTTATGTTTAAAAGTTGCGCATATATTTTTCAAATTTAAAACTATTCAGGTTTCGGCACTGCCTAACATTGTCTGGTAAACCATTCCAAAGTGTTGGTCCATTAAATAAAAATGAATCAACTGAATTTATCTGTTTTATGTTTAGGGACGACATATTTCTCTCCAGTAGATGACCTAGTCTGTCTATTGTGAACACTAGATGCTAATACATTACAGTCCAGATAATTTGGACATAGTTTGTTAATAACTTTGAACATCAAAATATACTCATTATATTTCACTCTCTTACTAAATGGTAACCAATTGAGTTTAGTAAAAAGTTCTTCACCTGATACAGAATAATCTGAATCTAGTATTATGCGTAGAACTCTCTCTTGCAACCTTTCTAACTTTTTAATGTTTGTTAGAGAGCGGTGTCCCCAAATATTGGAACAATAATCAAGTTCAGGTAAAATAAAACAGTTGAAGTTGATTATTCTTGGTAAATTTTGAATTTACATAACTGATGAAATTTGAAGCTTACTTTTTTAATAACATCTTGGACATGTTTGTTCCTTGTAAGAGTATATCAGTGCACACACCAAGTAGTTTTTTCATGTCTTACATTTTCTAATCTTTTGTTGTCAGACTCATTGCATTCAATACTTATTTCAAGTGTAACTTTCTGATTTCTCTGTTTGATTCCTAACAACATCATTTTAGTTTTCTCTGTGTTAATAACCATTTTGTTGCTTTTACACCATTCCAGAACATTTACAAAGACTACAGACACAATTCAATAGCATCAATACATTTAGCAGATTTCTGTGCAAAAGTTGTGTCTTCTGCATATATGTACAATTCAGACTGCTTAGAGTGGAAAGGCATGTCATTTACCAACAGTATAAACTTCAAAGGCCCAATTGTTGAGCCCTGTGGCACACCAGTTGTTATTTCACAAGGACTGCTTACATAATTTTTAAAAGGGACACTTTGCAATCAGCGCAAGATTGGACATAACAATTTCATTGCATTGTTTGAACATATTGTGGTCGACAATGTCAAAAGTCTTTTTACATTACACAAGTTAGATTTCTTCTATCCATCTCTTCATACCATCTATTAGTTACTGCTGTTAACACAATGACAGGAAGGCATACTTTTAAAGCCAGACTGATTGTCAATGAGGACATTGTGCTAGATCAAGAAATTATATAGAAATGAATGGACATATTTTATAATGTAATGTACGACAACACATATACACCAATGGTTCTGAAGCAGGGTTGTTGAGGTAATTGTGAAACATCCAAAATAGGAAAAAATGAGAAATTTCACATGTATCCTTAAGTTACTGAGGTTTGCAAAGACAAGTTTAGATGACAAAAATGACATTCATGACAAAATCATTATTCTGCCAATCTCCTCCGCTATTTTGTTGAAAAGAAATAACGAAGAGGAGGTGTCAGTTCCTTTGCCAATAATCTTTACAATCTGATACTTTGGTGCCTTTTTCACTGGAAAACGAACGGCACTCCTTCAGTTGACATTGGATGTCGTAGAGTTCTTAGCGGGCAAAAATCAAATGTATAATATTTTTTTATATGTTTCATGACATAACTAAGTTTCCTTCTGCACAGTAAGAAGTTTTGTTCTGTTTTCAGTGCCATTAGCGTCATAATTTTGAACTTCTTCATAAGCAATAACCATGCACTACGTTCTCAAGAGCCGAAGTTACTTAGAACACGAATTGTCTGGTCGTTATCACATCAATAAGATTCAGGGTGACAATGATCGTAGTCATTTTCCTCCGTTTCGTACCTTACATGTTGCTTTCGTAGTTCATCATACAATCCATCGTTAAACCCATTTGTTTGAACATTGCCCAACCTCACATGGTCGTACGGGTCAATGCTCAGTTCCGCGGCTCGTGTAACATTGGCATTGTATTCTGCCGTGGTTTCTTCTTGGTTTATATCAGGTTTACTGATACTTGCACTATCTAAGTTAGTCTCGGCGTATCCAGTAACACCGGAGTCAGTCCTAGATGTGCTTTTTTCGTTTTTGCTAGAGTGGTCTTCCTGATACGCAATCGGTGAACGTAGTGAAGTTCCAGTGGTTGCCTTTTTCTCATCTTCATTTTCTACAGCGATGTCTTTTTCAACCAGAAAATAAGTTTCGTCTGTATTCCCTGAACAGGTGGTGCCGTCCTTTCTCACATTTTCCTCTGTGCTGGTTCGTTTTCCATGTGAAACATTTTCATCTGAAGACAGTCCTATGATTAAGGAATTATCGGTCTCCTTTTCAACATTTCCACAGGTGTTGTAGAGACATACTGGTTTCTCTAAAACAAAATAATCACCCGGTTTATTTTCGAGTTCTGCTTCCTCCTTATTCTTCAGCTCATCCACGGCTGTCACTGCTAGCTCTGCTATATCCTGTTGATGAATTTTCTTTTCCAACACAAAGTAGCTGTTGTCGGACGATAAATCCGTGACATTAGGATGATCTAGCTTGTTCACAATAGACTGCTTCGCATTATCATAAAAAGTCGTATCGTCCTTGACCTCTTGTCTGGCAGGAAATTCACATGGTATTTCGTCATACACGACTGTTTCTGGTTCAGATTGTTTGCTGTGATTCTGTAAGTAAAATAATTGATGTAAGTACTTACAAATCTGCTGTATTACGCGAAAATTTGCAGAAGTTTTTTTATTGACATCTCTTAATGTAAATCAACGCATGCGATTTACTTCCGTGAATTTCAATAATTCAAGTTAATTATATACTAAACAGCGATAACAGTAGAGTATATCATAGTCTGTTTCACAAAAACTGTGAATAAAGACAGGTACATGTATACTTAACAAGGAGAACAGTACAAGTATATCATAGTCTGTTTCACAAAAGTGAATAGCCTCTAATTTGTTGCTGTTCTGATATCACGAAAAATATGAGCCCTCAGAAAGTAGTCTGTTTCACAAAAGCTGTGAATAAAGACAGGTACATGTATACTTAACAAGGATAACAGTACAGTATATCATAGTCTGTTTCACAAAAGTGAATAGCCTCTAATTTGTTGCTGTTCTGATATCACGAAAGATAGGTGCCCTCAGAAAGTCATATTTACAGTGCTTCAAATTAATTGCTTTTTGTAAAGACTGAAACATTGAGACATTAAACACTGTCGAGGAAAATACGGCGAAAAAGTGAAAAATTCACAATCACATATTCAAAACAACTGATAGAAAATTGTAAGCGCGCTTACCATGGCGAATGTTGCAGCCTTGCCATAGGCAATGTTGTTTATGATATCTTCATGACCCTCTGCAGGTTTCCCACTGCTAAAAGTACAATTTTACATAGTAGCAACAGTCGTTAACACAATTTTACTTTTTAAGAATAGTAAAGATACAATATTCTTTTACTGAAAAATCAACCATATGCGTCAGATAAATTAAACTTGTATACATAGTAAATTGGGAAAAACAATCTGTTAAATTTGACGGGAAGAATTTACAATATTTCAATCAAGTTTTGTTTGTTTCTTTCGCCTCCTAGATCAGTTGATGTCTAATTCTACAACGTCTGACCAATGTCGACCGCCTCAGACCACATTTACTTATTTATTTTTTCATCGAAACAAAACAATTAAAATGAAAACGATCGTGCTGTCAGTTACCCATAGGACATGTAATTTTAACAGATTTGATTATTACGGTACCTTCTACGTCGTCGGAGTACAAACAAAACAATAATTAAAATGGCGAGAAGTGCGAGAAACAGCACGGAACCTAACGGTACAATGATCTCGACCTGGTCGGTATCTCGTTGGCCTGCCAAAGATACGGTGTCCTGAGGAACTGTGAATATTAACGGGTCAAATGTTGAAACATCAAAATCTGTCATTGTCCTATCTAAGCATTGATCAGTTCCTTTGAATTATGTATTTCTTTCGTTAGCCATTTATTTCGTTATTAGGTTGATCCTCAAAAACTTACTGAGACATGACACATATTTAAGACGAAATACAATTTGTGCTTTTACTCACCTGTCATAGTTTACGTAACTAAACCTAAACTGGAGAATTTCTAGCTTTACTTATTTTAAATAACGAAATGGACGCCATTAATTCGCAAAATTTTAAAGTGCAACACTACAACTATTACCAGAATTTTATAAAATACAACCGACGTAATTTTTTTCTTTCAAAAACATTAACCATTACTTGAAATACTGCAACAGAAGCGTCTTTGATCGCGATAGAGAAATTATCTCCTACCTGCAATACACACGTGTGCCATTAAATGTTGTATGAAGCAACACTATTTCACACTTTACGTTAGTACAGTTAAGGTGTTCAGTTTGGAACACTCACTACATAGAACTATCTATAAATCGCCTGTATTCTTATAATTTTGTGAAGCGGATGCAACAATGGTATCTTGCTGACAACACCCTATATATACAAGCTACATGTATACCTATTTTTACATGTGATACTATGGTTAATTTTAA